GGCATTAGTGGGCGATGTTTTTGTCTCCCCAAATCCGCCTGCAGGGAGACAGGCCCGACCTGATCCTCCTTTTGTCCTGCTCCCCCTCGCCCGAGGAGGCGGACGTTGAGGCCGCCCGAGCACCTCGGGGCCCCTTGAAGACCCCGCGCGAGGGCGACGACGACGGCGGCGATGTCGACGGCGGCGGCTGCGAAGGCGACGGTGGCGGCCGCGACGACGGCGACGGGGGCAGCGGCGACAGCTTCGCCAAGACACGCTGGAACGCCTGGAGCAGGCCACAGTCAGATCTCTCGGCCCCATCTATCTACTTGATCCTTCGAGCCAGACCGATGTATGAGGGCCTCGGGGCCGGAGGCAGGGCCCTAGGAGTTTCCCGGAAACTCCGCGACGACGATGACGACGACGACGACGACAACGACGAAGCGACCGCCAAGGCTACGGCGACAGCGGCGGAGGCGGCGATGCCGGCTACGCTGTTGACAACGGCGGCGGCGGTGATGGCCGCGGCCGCCGCGGCGACGGTGAGAGGCACTGCGACGACGGCGGCGTTGTCGTTGCCGTCGCAGACGCCGCCGCCGCCGTCGCCTCCGCCGTCGGCTTCGCCGCCGCCGCCGCCGTCGCGGTTGGCGTCGTGGCCTCTCCGCAGCGAGCACCGCGGGCGCGCGGAGGCCGCCCGAGCATCCTCGGCGCGACGGCTGCGGGCGGGGCGCCCGCGGGTGCGGCGGCCGCGCCGCAGCGGCAGCTGCTGCAACAGGCGCCCTCCGGCCAGGCGCCCGCAGGCGCGCCGGCGTCGCCGGCGCCGTCGCTGACGTCGCCGTCGACGGCTGCCAAGACTCAGGTCGGGCATGTCCTCGTAGAGGCGAGTTTTGGAAAAATAGTGGTGCACGGTCACAACATATCCTTACATAGTCAAGATGGTAGACCAATCGCTCCCAGACTGTTCTTGGACCATGTTTGAGTTCTCCTCCTGTAGAGTTACACGCTCGACTTGAGCCAAGACGATACACGACGACTACCGCGGCGACGTGCCTGCGACGACGGCGGCTCTGCCGACCGGCGACGACGGGGGATGGCGACGACGACGACGACGACGGATTGGCGGACCGATGACGGAACGATTGGCCGAAGACGACTGAGATAAGGACCGATGCAGCAACCAACCTTGCCAGCGGCGACGGCGGCGGAGGGCTCTCAGTCGCTGTTGGCATGGTCAGCAGGAGGCGCCCGGGCGCGCGGCCGCCGCCGCAGGCAGCGGCGGCGGGCCGACGGCACGGGCCGCTGGACCGACCACCCGCCCGACGACCACGAAGGACCGACATTTGGCGGCGCGCAGAGGGGGGTAGGGGGAGGGGGGAAGGCTTCTTAGAAGGAGGCTGCTTCTTAGAAGGCGCCGGCCTTACATTTGTAGACAAGGCCCGCGCCTTCTAAGAAGCAGGGGTGCTTCTAAGAAGCCTTCCCCCCTCCCCATACCCCCCTGTGCGCGCCGCCAAGACATGCAGACCGACCACCCGACCACGACGGTCGTCGGACAGACGATCCTCCGACCACGACGACTGCAGCGGCGGCGGTGACGACGACGACGACGACGACGATGACCTCAACAACGATGGCCGACGGTCGGACGGAAGGCCAGACACCACGCCGAGCAAGGTTCGGCCCCGCAAGGCTGGGTGGTCAGCGCCGCAGCACTCAGTCGGCGCTCGAGCAGGATGCAGCTGCCAGTTTGTGCCATGCGGACTGGACTGGAGTGGAATAAACCGCTCCTGTACGTCGCATCGGCAGAAAGTCGCGCAAGAACGGAGGCTACGAACAAGTAGGACAATCTGACCGCTAAGTGCATGCGAGCCGCAGCACGGCCACTGAGTTCGCAGTGGTGGGCAGCGGTTGCAATACGTCAGCGGGTAACTGTGCAAAGGGGAGAGGCAGGAGGGAGAAGTGAGGGGGAGGAAAACGAAGACAAGGCGGGGAACACACAAACTATACAAATGTGCAGTAACGTGCAACTGCAGCTTCCCAAGATGCAGGAGAGACTCGCAGCAGGCTCTGCAGGCGATCCGGGCTGTCACCTGCAAGGCTCAGGGCACGCGCGTGTATACAATGCGCCACTGTCGGCGGGGGCGTCCTTGCTTCCGTGATCTGATTCATTTTCCGGGCAAAATGTTGTCTGCTTGTCCTACTTCAAAAACCATTTGCCTGGGAAATGCGCCGGGCCGATCTCGAGCCAATTTCCCATAGTAGTTCAGTCGGCATTGCAATAATGTTGACGACAGCCGTGCCGTTCCACTCATGCCTCTCGCCTTGTCGTTGATCACTCTCGACACGTAGGCCGGGGAGACCGTCTAGATCTCACGCAGACACAGATTTGGAAACCATCGAGCCTGTCCCCATCAGCGGCGAGCAACATGCAGTATTCCAGACCGCAGAAAAGCTTCGATACAATGCACGTGTCTAATATCATCGCGGCATACGTTTGCATGGTTCCACACAACACTCAATTTTT